TGAGGAGGTGAAATCAGCACTTAAAATTTTTGCGTTATCTTGATATAACTTTGTAACAGTACGAGATAGAGAAAAAATGTAAATACAGAAATTGCTCAGTTTTTTAATGGTATATTAGTCTATCGGAAGGAAAATTTTCTACGAGACGTCATTTATGCATGATAGTCATTGCATGCAAAAATGTATATTTATCAATGGTTTATTGAATTATAAAATATATGATTTTTATAAATTTTTTTATTTACAAAAACAACTTTCCATTTTTGTACTTATATGCTTATGCATATACGTGATATCTTGTGTCACTCATGTTTTGTAACTTACAGAAAGTTTTACATACCATTTATGTAATACCATTATGCACTTATGTTATAAGTACAAATAATTACAACTAGTTTAAAAAAAAGAAAAAAAAACATAACGAGTTCCTTCCACACTTTGTATCTGATAAATAATCAATGCTAACGTTCAACATTAGAAAACTAATATTTATAATCCTTCTGCGATAATGTATTGTGTTGTATAGTTTTTATTTATACCTTTTCTATACTAGCCTATAAGCCACTATATATAATTAAAATAAATATAAACATTCTATATATAGTAAACATGATTAATACATATCCGCAAACTCTACGATAGTTTTCGAGTGCAATTATTATAACGAAACGAAAAGACTGCGTGTATCCGTTATGGATCTTTAGTCCATAAAAATTTGCGACTGTTATCCATTTATACGTTTAAGGATCTATGTTTGTTATTATTATTGTTATTTACGGTATAATAAACGTATATGATTTAAAATAAAAAAACAGGCCAAATGCCCGACTACAAAACCGCTGCAAACTCAACCGCGGGTTCGAGCCCCATCTGTAGTCACTTTCTTTTTTATTACATTAATTAAATTTTTTTAAATTTCTAGCTAAATGTAAATGACTAGTATTTATTTAAGAGCACTTCAAAAATAGTTTAAAATATTTTTATTCTAAAATATGTACAAAAATAATTTTGGAGCAGTCTTCATCGCATCGTTTCTCTAGCTACATATTTATTCGAGTACGGGATTGTTTGTAATTTTTTCGTTAATTGAATATATAAGTGTTATTTTGAAAGCTTTTATCCTTTTATCCTTAATAACTGTAAGTGGTGATGGAAAAATTCTTCCTGTTTGGGTTATTCCACGCCGAGCGGATCACTTTTGCACACGATGTTTGGGATGGGGGTTTCGTAATAATCCTATTTAGAAGCGTGGATTTGTTTCTTCTTCAATTATGTACAAAAGAAAAGCATCATTGCTCGATGGAAACTACGGGAAGGTGGTCTCATTTATCGAGAAGGGAGACGACAGAGAAGGATATAATGGTATTCTGGCTTTTAAATATTACAAATAAAGTGTCATTAACAAAGAGTGGGTAATTAAAACTACTATAAAAATATGAATAACACCATAAAGAGACTACTGTACCTAAGTAGAATTAGGTTCGAAGAAAATAACAGAAATGCTTATTCTGGGAACACCAGTCATCTCATTTCGTCGACTATCATAATATATGACTTAATTATTATTGTCCACAAAACAATACAGAGGACATCAGGATTGTCGAGTCTACCAGGTAAACTCGATGACTAAAATTCTTTGAAAAGACCAAAAAAGAAATAACAAAAAAGCTGAGGACGTCATGCAATCGCATTTGTTGCAATCCACAAAATAATCATAGCAATAGGCATTCTTAACATAAAGATCATGTATGTATTTAGTATCGAGAAATACAAATAATCGTATCATTACTAGTGCACGTGGAAGGAGAAGCAGCGAAATAAAGAAAAAGACTGAGGACGTCAAGCAATCACATTTGCTGCAATCTACCCACGGTTATTAAAGATAAAGGCTTTTAAAATAAAACTCATACAATTGTTTAACGTAGAAAATTACAAACAATCCCGTAAAGGAAAAGATATGCAGCTAGAGAAACGGTGCGATGAAAACTGTTCCGAAATTATTTTTGTAATGTTTTAGAACAAAAATATTTTAAGCTATTTTTAAAGTATTTTTAAATAAATACTAATAATGTAATAAAAAAAAGTGAGCACAGGCAGGGCTCGAACCCGCAGTCGAGTTTGCAGCGGTTTTGTAGTCAGGCATTTGGTTATCGCTGTGTTATCGATGGCTGTTGGTATGTAACTTAATATTTTCGTATATAAGGGACATAACATTGTCTCCAGCAGTTGTGTTAATTTAATTTTTTTAATTTAGATTTTATTTTGCTGAATGTAGAAACACGTGAAATCGTATAATATAAGTACTTATGTATTTAATGAAGGAAATACAAAAATTCCAAGTATAAGTTATTTTTTCACAGAAAACATTGGTTTTTGATTTTTTCATCTACAGCATACTCTACCAAGAAGTTTCAAAAAATTGAGAACACTACTTATGATAATATGTTGCTACTGTGAAAGGATAAATGTGGTGCCGCTAAAACTTCAATAAGAAAAATATATTTTTCATTAATTTTTATTTTTCACAACTAGAATAGACAACTAAAAAATCGTGAAAAAATTGTCAACACGCGCCCCGATAAACACTATCTATCAGAATTTTTACAGAATTTTTGCGCGTCATTAAACAGGGAAAATAGGGGAAAAATCGATAACTCGACTTTTCCATATACAGTAATCCCGCGTTGAACGCAACAAACTCGGGTCCGCTTCGCTGCATTCACGACGACGTGGAAACGTTTTCAGCACCTCACAATGCAATTTTTTGCTCGAAACTCGAGCCTCGACAGTTTGCCTTTGTAAAGTACCGAACGTAGAAAATGACAAGCGATTGAAAAACAGAGAGAAAGCTTCTAGTTACACTCGACTCGACTTCGTGGCCCGCCTGTGATGCTTTCGTCGGCCAATGACTATATTGTAACCGCCTGCGGCTCGTGTTGTCTTGCTCGGTCTCGGTATGTCTTGTACGGTCTTTGTCATACCGTTTCGGCCAATCGAGGTGATTCTTTTAATGTGATTCGTCGACAGCTCTCTGGGTCCTAATCCTAGCCTCGTACCCTTGTCGCACCACTCGGTTCCCCCGTGTCGCATCGACTTGCAACAGTCGATCGCGGTGAGCCAGAATACGGAATACGAAGGACAGCAAATGCAAAAGAAAGAGAGGTCAAAGTCGAGGTAGCAAAGTTTGGTCTCACCGACACGCAGACCTCTCTTTCTTTTTCATTCGCTGTCCTTTGTATGTCGTATTCTGGCTCCACTGCGAGCGACGACTCGGTTAATGCACAGGCTGGCTATAGCGCTATAGCAAACGGGAAAACATGACGCACAGTTCGTTTTTTAAAACTCCGAGTCTCACTCGGAATAAACAGTTCGATAACTAGACGCTCTGCCCGAGTATGACACGGGATAAATTATTAGATGATGGATTAAAGACAGCGGTGGTGCGTTCGAATCCTTTCATGAGCAACTGTATATGTATACCTACGTACGCGTTTATTTATTTTCCTTCCGATATCCAATGTTGTACCATTTTAAATCTTTCTGACACCTTTGTACACAATAAACAAAGGCTTCAACATTTTTTTATGTTTGTACTTTATCAGAAGCAATAATAAAAGAATATGAATTTTTAACACCTTCTACATAAGTAAATATGTTCTAAATTATACCGTGTTTGGTATCGTTTAAATCGGAATAATCTCACCAATATGTTAATAAAAGTTTCATTAACAAAGAATCAACACTAAAAAAGTTTCATCGTTACATTAGTATCGTGCCACCCGATGCCCAGGCATGCAATCTTTTCTTGATTTTCCCTCGTTCAGCCGTCGGCTCGTGAAAGGGATGCCGCCGCGACGCGTCGGGCAAAAAACTAAGCGCTTGACAAATTCCAGGGCTCCCTTCCCCAGTGGTGGGGATGACGATGTTGGATTCATCGAGTCGTTTTCGTGTTGCGTTCAACGCGGGATTACTGTACTATCCTCCTGATCGAAATAGTGTTGAAACTTGGTACAGACTACTTTTTCTTGACAAGCTATCGAATCATATATTACAAGTCTAAATCGACCTAAGAGCTCTTTTCACCCCCCTATCCCGCTATACCCTTTGTATAATTAACAGAAACATATACCTACTATGGGTCAAAAGAAGCCCGTACTTGCCCATTATGTCATTATTAAAGTATTCATCTTCTGAATGTAACATAACAATATTACGGCAAGTAAGGTCTACGTACATACCATTTGTGAAAAAGCTGCGAACGTACAACTCTACGTATAAAAGGAAAGACAAGAATTACTGGTAAAAACTCTTGCGATGTGAACAGATGTCGCGTCATTGTTCATTACTTCTCTTCCTCCCTTTATTTCACCACACACGCTTACAAACTCTCTTTCGTTTTCTTTTTAGGGCTATATTTTTCCATGATTGCTCAGCAACGAAACCGTCGAACAGCCAATACTGAACAATTATGCAATTACGCTACCCTGAACATTATCATTGTTTCTAAAATATCGGCGAATTTCATAAATTTATAAGTATTGCAGCAGGAAACTGTTTCTAATCAAATAATGATCTTAAATATTATTTATTTTTCATTTTCTATACTAGAGTTTGTTATCTAATCAAAGATGATCTGCTTCAATATTTTCAACCCGCTCTAAAGGTCGAGAATTTATGGATTTACAAATTTAAATCGATATTTTATTCAATCATATGTTATTTATAAAAAAAGTCATTATGCGACCAAAAATGGTTACCTGCTTCAACATTCAGAGTTAATTAATCCCTACGAAACCTGTCGTGATTGTCGAAGAAATTATGTATTCTACGTAGAGATGTAATACTTATTATAAAATTTGGACAGTAAAAAATTCCTGTAAATTTTTATGAAAAATTTACCAATCAGCTGATGAGATTTTTCTGATGAATAGAAAAGCAAATACCTATATTTTTGTTTAGACAACGTTCATCTTGTAAACTTAACTTTCTTTTGTGTTCCATCTTGTATACATTAAATTAACTCAGCCGTGGATGCGGTAGAATATAAACACAAAGCTAAACACTTTCGTTCTACTCGCGGTCCTCGTAGAATTTCATCACTTGCTCCCTAGCAGCTTGAATGATGGAGATCCTGCAAGGATTCGGATCCCAATGAATACCGGCGCAGCCCATAGTCTCGAAGCAGTTGACCAAACGTTTGGTGCTGGTTGGACAGCACTGAATAACAGCCCAGACACATGGCGGAGGGTTTGTCGGGAACGGTCGCGGACTGGTTGCGATCCGATTATTATTCTGAAAACAAAAAAAAAGTTTAGCAACGCATTCCGAGTTAATTTTAATTATTATTTAATGAACATAATAAAAACATGCTGTTCGGTGATTAGATATGATAATCTGTTATAATATTCTCGATTAACCCGTACAATAATTACATAGACTCTGAGAAGAGATATGGTTTCTGTGTCAATTTTGCCATACTTTCATGAGTACCACAGCCACTGCAACGTGTTTTGATGAACTTTTTCGCGTCTCTATAGAAAACAACACATGATTTTGTAACTTTCCTTCACACATTCCTTAGCAGAAAGGTCTGCTCTATTACATGTTATGGTTATAGGTTCTCCTAGACCCCTACATTTAAAAATAAATAGAAAAATATCTGCAGAAGTTGGTGGGTCTTGCGTATCCTTCTCAATTTGATCATTATTTAAACATATTTCGATGTGTATAATATAATAACAATTTACATCATATCTCTCTGGACAGTCCACACAATTAGGTTGTGTCAAAAGCAACAGAATAACTATTACTGTAAAAGCACAAGTAATCTGTAAAATTTGAAAAATTGCGGTTTTAAAAAAACTTAATTTTTGCAAAAACTGTACTTTCTGAGAAGAATCAGTTAGCAAATTCGTATTCAATTCATAAGGATCTATCAGAAACGTTTATTGAAGGTTACAAAATCAAAAGAGGTGTTAAAACTTGTTGAACAGTGTAACAGGCGTCCTGGACGAACTCACGCGTATGTGAAATTGGCCGTTAAAGTTTTTTAACAAGGTGAAAATAGCTTACTGGGAAACCAACATCGTTGTCAAATCCAGCCCTCGACATTAACCCCGGCTTGGAGGAGGATCCTCCGGGGCGAAGTATTATTCTGGCTCTTACAGGCAAAGCGTTCAATCTGGCCTCTTCTTGCTGCTGCCATTGTTCTGGCATTGCCCTGGTGCGTTCCTGGTGCTCACTGGCTTCTTTCGCTCTACGCGAGAAGAGGGGGTGTTGTATTATAAGTTTCGACCAAAAGGTCAGTATGCGCGACACTGTTACGTATGGAGAATAATTTTCATTTTCAATTGTATTCTAAACTCTATCTATTATATTCTAAACTAAAACTCTGTCTGTTTATTCCTCAAGTAATAGAGGAGCGTAATTTCAACTAACTGGATAGCAACCAGAGACAGAATCATGATTCAATCGTGACCGGTAAGATTTCCTTATAGAGAAATTCTAATGAAACCTAACCCAGTTTTGGAACTATATAAACCCTCTGTTTTTAACCCTCCGTGGACCAGAATAGTACAGTCACTTGTAAAGTCACGACGTATTATATCCAGTAAAGAGTCGGTTGTATTCAGTGAGGTCGGGCTTAATTTCCTTTTCCAATCATCAGTTAAGCTTATAGAACCCGCGAGTTCAGTTGAAGTTCTATTCGGTAATCTTTTAAAGCCGCTCTTAGTCTCCGCATTGCCAGTGCGTTAACACCGAGCATTTAACCGGTAATATTACACCTAATACTTTACCGCGACAACACAACACTATGGTCTGTTTTTTGAAAGATGATGCCTGGGAGGTTGGCCTGCCTCGGCGCGTGGCCTAGCGGAGATCCAACGCGAGCTGCGTATTTCGTGCGACGTTGCATGGTCTCAATGCCACTGTGTGTCTCTTTCCATCCTCCGGCACTTCGGCACGTGAGCCTCTCGCTCAGACGCTCGGTAAACCAACTTCCTTCTTTCCCCTGCGATTTCCACGTGTAGCGTTTAATAACCTACGTGTTAATTTAATCTCCTTTTAATATGTTGCTCAATATTTGGGTACGATGCATTCTTTTAAAAGAAATAAACTTTTTCTTATTCATGTATTTTAACTTTTGACGTGTGAAAACGTTCTGCGTCTCGTCAACATTCTCCGCCATTTCCAGACAATGGATTATTGACGGCCACGTGCCGAACGCAGTCCCCACTCCTTGAGATTGTAGGTAGGTCCTTCTCGAGAGGTTTGTAATACGTGTGATAGAGACATCCAACCGTAGGCGAGGACTCACGTCGACGGTCGCACGTCGTTGGCCAAGACGCGAAGAGTGAAAGAGGACAGACGACCGTAGGCGAGGACTCACGTCGATGGTCGCACGTCATTGGCCAAGATGCGAGGAGTGAGAGAGACACAAGTACCGTAGGTGTCTCGCGATCGCGGCAACATCGCGAAAACTCGGGCCTACCTCCCAGGAATCATCTTTCAAAAAACAGACCATAGACATACTTATACCAAAAACTGATTGTCTAATAGTCAAATAATATTCTTTAATAAACGTGAGTAATTTTATTATTAAAATTCATTGGTTTGGTAATCATTATAATCGTAGTTGATTTTTCCCACACGATACAACTTTACCGCTCAAGTTGTATCTAACTTTATAAAACGAGTTACGAGGCTTAACTAACATTTCCTGCAGCTCCCTGATTTTGCATCAGGTACGTCTGTATAAATTTTCCACCCTCCTCGCAGCTCCTCAGCTATGCGCTGAGTTCGTCTGCGCAATCTCATCCTAGGGACTCCTCGATTTCGCATCGGGTTCGTTCACGAATTTCACCATCCAATGAGTCCCCGATTTCGCATCAGGTTCGTCCGCAAGTGATTCCATTCGTAGAGGCTCCCTGATGTCGCATCAAGTTCGTCTTTGCTTTCATCATCCTAACGGCTTTCTGACTTCATGTCAGATTCACTAACAAACTGAGAAACCATATTCCTTGGAAAATCTACTCCGCCGGCCTCTCGCGCTGCTCGCGACCCTGGCTCGTAACACTGTCAAGGTGTTTGTTTCATTAACATCGCTTGTTTTCTAATGCAATATTAAATTACGAACCGCGATGTTGAACATTTACCCTCTCCCTTCTATCCCTCCCTTCCTCCCCCTCTTCCCCCCCCCCGCCCTCATTCCGTCTCTCCCTCTCCCTTCTCTGCCCTTTCTTTCTCTCTTTCGCATCATGCTGTAGATCTTGGAGGTTATGATAACCGTTGCGCAGTCATTTCACGTCAACTTCTTAAACATGTATTCAAATGTACAACTTTCAAAAGTCGATATTTTTCGAATATTCTGGTAGTTTACGATCTTGTGAATTTCTGTCTAACGTAAAGCACTTCAATCCATGGGAGTAGATGTTTAATAATTCTAAATAAACATTACAGGCTCACTTGGTGGATGGCATCTATGCACGACTATACACAGAGGTCTCAAAATGTATTCCATAAGACACCGTGGTCCCGCGTCAAATCAATGAAATGGCCGCCACAAAACATACAGAACAACCTAAAATATAGTATAGCAGTGCCTGAATAGGATAAAATAGAAAGAAATAACTGAAATAGTGAAAAATATTAGTGGATGATAGAAAAACTTTCTTGACAACCAAAGGAAACCGCATAAGCAGTGAATCGGAGATAGGTCTAATTAATGACTACCAATTCCGAGGAAAACCCAGATTCTTCATTCTCAGTCTTATTCAGCTTACAACTATGACACTCAAACCTACTTCGTTGATAACTAAAAAGTAAAGAAAAGTAGTACAAAATAATAAAATATTTACTAGAAGTAAATCTATATTCAGTAAAATATTTTGTGATTTAAATGAATATCCTGTAAATAATTGTTATATTTTTGTTTTTGTTTTTGTTATTGTTTAACACGTTGACAGCCAGCTATGAGATAATTCGTAGTTGAAACATTGCAAACATGCTGGATTATTTAAATACGTCTACAAAATTTTGACATAAGATTAATATCACAGAATAATTTAAAACAAGACAAGCAATCTCTATTAATCAAACGCATATATTTTCAAAGATTTATGACTTAAAAAACAAAATAAAGTGTGTCTGGCTACGCACAGTCTTTTTCACTGTGGCAGTGAACGTGTTAAATGTCTCTTTTTTAACTAGTTTGTAAGTATATAATTAGTGAAAAGAGTTCCCTTTTTATAAGGTGTTTTTGGGAGAGTATAGCACATTAGCAATAGGGCACAGGTTCATAAGTTCCTATTAGAATAATTCGATACCTCAACGATCGGTACATAAACTCCCGGTCGTACAATAAAAAAGACCAAAGCGATTAAAACTGAACGAGACAAGAAATCTGTATAAGTCTTTCCGAGAAATATAATGTTTACTATTGTTTATTGTAGTTATTAAGACAAGATGCAAAATTTATGTTTGTACGCCAAAAGAAACACTTTTAAATTCCAAAAAGAAATTCCGTGGTCCCGCGCTAAGGGCGCAGCTTTATACCAAAGGAGTCGACGGATCAAATCTTGTTGGATCCTCATACTTTTTCTCATTTTTATTTTCGTTTTTTCTTCTCGTTTTCTGAATACACTTTTTATGGTCATTATCTAGTATTTACTTCAATTAATAACGTGCAAATCCATAACAAAAGAAATTAGTACTCTTCTGGTAATAAAACAAAAACTGGTGCTTTATATACCATATAAATATTAAAAATATTTATGAGATAAAGGGTGGAGGAATGAATGGAAAATCTTACTTGTAAGCCAAATCCCACTTTGTAGCTGGCAGGCAAAAATGAATGATGAGGTAATTAATTATTAAAAATATTTAAATAAATATTTATTACTATAAATGAATATTGGATAATGACCAAAAAACGTGTGTTCAGAAAAGGAGAAAAAAAACAAAAAATAAAAATGAAAAAAAGTATGCGCGGATCCAGCACGATTCGAACCGTCGACTCTTTTGGTATAAAACTGCGACCTTAGCGCGGGACTACGGTGTCTTATGGAGTACAACGTGAGACCACTGTGTATAGGTGCATAGGTGCCTTTCACCAAACATCTTAACTGATTTTTTCAAAAACGCTTGAGCATTGCGTTTTCTCACTTACACACTTTACACATCTAACCGGGTACTACAAACTCACAAAGTATAACAAAAATCGGAGGTGCAATGTCGTGCTGTCTCCTTGTAACTATTGGGTACAATGTAAACATAAAATCAGGTTGTCCGTCCTTTCAGAACCATTATTTTACCTGTTATGGATTATTCCCCTCTCTAGTTCCATTTTCTGTCTTTCGATGTTTGCAGGCCGTCTGGGCTCTAAACTACTGCGAATAAGGCTCGCGTCCTGTTTCCTCCTAGGCTCCTCGAATCTTCTACGATCTCCAAGTTTCGTAGTCTCGAACGAACCAGTCTTTCCAGATGGACTTTGTCTAGTCTGCTCCTCGATCAGTTCTTTCGTCCTTCTTTCGGCATCTAGCCTCGCCGTTTCTTGCCTGGTTCGTTGCTCCTCGTACTTCCTCGACTGCATCCTTCGCACTTCTTCTTCTCGCCTCAGAGCCTCTATTCTTCTCTGATTTACCTCCTGTCTCTCTCGTTCGCGGATTCTCCCTTCCACCGTATCCCTTCTTCTAATTTCGTCCACGTAGTTTCTGGGATTGATATTCGTCGGAGCAGATGGACCGTGATTCCTTCTTACGTTCTCCGGTCCAGGGTACCTATTATCCATCCTTCTGTTTTCTAGCCAATTATTCCCGTCGGATCTGTTCGTCTCCAGAACGTGAATGGGTTGATTCCTTCGAATATATTCTTGCAACTTTTGCTCTTCCAACTTTCTGTGTTCCCTTTCCAGCATCCTCCTATTCTCTTCTCTCTGTCGATCAGCTGAATGGTTCACAATAACCGGTCGATTGCTTTGCATGTACTTCCTTAACTTTTCTCTGCGCTCTTTTTCTACTTCTAGTTCAGTCTGTCTACTTTCACTAGGACTGGCCCGCATGGGTAGAAAATTCGAAGGTTCATTTTCTAGTTGTTTCTTCAGCATCCATTCTCTTCTTTGTTCCTCTAGATGTCTCATTTCCTCTTGTCGTCTTCTCGCCTCTACTTCCCACCTGGACTGATCGTTTCGTCTTTCTTCAAGTAGTCTCCTCTCCTCTTTCTGTCTTTTCAAATCCTCATCTCGGGATTGCTGCCTTTGCTCTTCCTGTACTCGAAACTCCTCTCTATTGTGAGGCTGTTCCTTTCCCCGTCTCTCTTCATCACGCCATCTTTGCATTCTTTCATTCTGAAGATGTTGCCTGTGATCTTCTTGCGGCTGCCACGAATTTGATGATGACCACTGCCGCTGTCTCCTTTTTTCTTCCCTTTGTTGTAACCGCTTCTCGTAATCACTTCTAATTCTCTCGATGTCAGCATTGGTTCGATTCTCAGTGTAATCTTGTCTGTGTGTGTCCTTATGTCTCCTTTCCTGTTCCTGACCTCTCATCTCTCCTTTCTTCCTTCGTTTTTCGAAATCTTGTCTCCGCCGTTGGTTCTCGGTCTCCAGCTCAGCACTGGACACCACGCCTTCGTCCTTCCCGAAACCCCACATTTCTCGTTTCGAGCGTTTCCTGTCCTCAAACCATAGAATCTTGCGACGTGGATTACTTGGCAATCTTTCATTCTGAGAATCCTTGATGCCAGCTAGATCAAAACTGTCCTCCGGCTGCTTGCCATTGATAGTGGACTCGTTCTTCAAATCCGACTTGCCTAAATCTCCCCGGACAGGTAGTTTCTCTGCCCGTCTTTGTTCCTCATAAAACTCAGAATGAAGAGTGGCTTCAATGTCGCCTCTGTTCTGCATCATATTGGTGGTCTCCAGTTTCTTCAGCTTCAGGAGCTCATCCATTTCTTCGTAATCTTCAGTAGACAGATCGTAGTCTAGGTCCAGTGATATCGGCGTCACATCAGGCCACAGGTCTACCGCATCTGTATTCTTGTTAGAAAATTCTATGGACCTTTTCTGCATGTGATTAGACGCTTCTAATCCTTCACAGCCCACTTGTAACTCTGGTACCCCGCCAACACTGAAAGGATCACTATCGGGCGGCATTTCTGAGCTGAAATCGGTGAATGAGTTGGATTGTTTATGGAGTCTGTTTGAATTAATCGTTTTATTCTCCGACATGTTAGCCCTCCAACTACTATGATTGAACTTCTTAGGTGTTTTGCTCTTGGTCTTTATTAATAATCTGGATATGGGGGTTGAGTTCAGCAAAGGCCTCTCTCTGAGCAGATCCAATTTATACATCTCCACTGATCCAGGTCCTTGATCTTGGAAAGTGTCATCGGCTACGAAAGGATCATTATTTTCCGACGGCGGTGACTTACGCGAAGGAGATTCTGAAGTTTCTGTATATTTCTCGACTTCAGGCGAAGATGAGAAATCATATGTGGCGCTTTTTCCCATTCGTGGGAAGAACAGTTCTTCGTCAAAGTATTTAGATCTGAAGGATCCACTCGGAGAGACTGGAAAATGTACAAACACGTGAATTTTCTCGAGTATGAAATAATAAAAAGGTAAGGATCTATAAGATACGAAGATATCAACCACAACATCATTCCGTATCTCATAGTCTCCTAATTCTTCTGAATGAATCGAGTCCACAATAATGACATTGTCTTTACTACTAGCACGTTGCATACATTGTAAAAGTTTCTGTATACGACAAAAGTGAAATATAATATATTGCACTAATGCAATGTATGTATAATGGATTAGATACAGGATTGCAATTGCTTTATTAAATTACTGACGTGAAGTTACTTTTATTTAATCCAACTTAGTTTAACTTGTGAAAAGTTAAATTTCATGTTCATTTCATATTCAAGAAACTCTTCTTCTTATGAGCTAATTATTTCAGTATACAAATAGGCATGGGTTTCTTTTTTGTATCAACTGTATACGATTGAGATAATTATTTGAAAGTTTGATTCGTTGACAAAAATTACTTTTTAGATTTGCGAACTACATATTCGTTTGTGTTAGTAAAAAAAGTACGCGAATATAAGAGTCAGCGGATGAAACGATCGCAGAATCGTGCGCACTAATCTCTATAATCGCGTCGTCATTATCAGCAACGCTATAACATATAGACAGAATCCCGTACTTTATGGCTAGAACGCTCTTCAAATCTTTAGTTAAAAACATCCTGGTCACTACTATGTTCAATTGAGTTACCCATTCAAAGCAGCATCCATGTAAGGAGGAAATATTCTGAAGAACGTGAGACGTACCAGTGTCTAGTTTAACTGAACTTCGCGGGCTGATCGTAAGGTCGAACCGCAGACTTGAAGCAGGATTCTCATCCTTCCAGTACAGTTGGCCATCGGCACCTCGATAGAGTCCACGGCGGTGTGTAATCAAATGGAAGTATTGATCGGGAGTAAGGCGTGAGGGGTGGAGGATGGCTGTCCCCACTACTACCATGCACAACGCTAGCCAGACCGCTGCTTGAATTACTATCACACCTGGCTGCATCCTTCTGTAATCAAAAGGACATTCTTCGGTCATTTTTCCTCTGTTTCTGTTTCTGTCTGTGTTTCCGTTTCTGTCTCTGACTCTGTTTCGGTCTTTGTCTCCTCGGTGTCTGTCTCTATCTCTGCCTCTCATATTTGCAGGACACTCGCCAACCGCGTCGTCAACCTTCCCATGTGTCTTGGAAACGTTCACACAACAGTAACGAAAATTTAAACGATTCACAGACACTTTCCCTGCTAGACTTTCTTCAGGAGAAACAATGACCTTGCAACAGTGGTGATCGGTTTACAGAAAATTTTAACAACAGATTCATTTGCCTGCTCGGAGGCGATATAATATACGGTTTTGAAAGTATTTCTGTATTAATCCTTTTACAGTTTCTTCCGTATAATACAGTTGAATTTTGTTTAGTGTAGTTAGCGTCGCGCTTTGATGAATACTTGCGGTGTATTTATGACCTTTTCAATGAATACTCGTTCTATATCTCTAATAAGTTCGTTGGTTGCAATTCGCTGTTTATGTGCGAACTCTACAGGGTGTCCCAAAAATGTCCTCCGACCCGGAAATGGGGCACTCGGGAGGTAAATTGGAACAACTTTTTCCTTAGCAGCAATGTAATCTGAGGCTTCGTTACCGAGATATTAACGAAACACATAATTTGCCTACATTTACGTTTCATTTATTAATCTCTTTCAATAACAAACGGCAGATGATAAAAAGTATGATTGTATTTGTTACGTTTTCTTTAGTTGCTATTATACGCAGTTTCCTGCGATGCATGCTGACCTACTTGTTTGAAGCTTCGTAGTACAAACGTAGCGCGTAGCCACCGCTAGCGCGGGAACTCGACTGGCAAACTCGCGCTCTGATTGGTCGCGGTTTTTCGTTAATATCTCGGTAACGAAGCCTCGGATTACATTGTTGCTAAGGAAAAACTTGTTCCAATTCACCCCCCGAGTGCCCCATTTCCGGGTCGGACGACATTTTTGGGAAAGCCTGTATAGTGGATGTTTGTTATGTACATGCAAACTTTTTGATAGATACCCGCTGTGTATTTGTAAACATTTTGGTGACTCCCCGCACTGGGTGTACGAATTTTTGAGACTTCGGTTCATGAAGATATAATAAAATAGGTAAGTTTAATACTGATTTTTCGATGTAACAGACATTTATATAGTACCGCCGAATATCGCTGAATTTCCCACAATTTTTACTTTGACCTTCATAGCATTGTAGGTCCTTCTTTCCAATTGTCCTCTACTTGCCAGTTACCTGCGGATTGACTAGTTTTAGGCAGGCTCAAACTAATTTTTAAATGCTCATAACTGGAAAAACGACAGCTGGACGGTTATTTTGTTACTCATAATTCTTCTTATTTTATCTTGGAGCCTAAGCTTTTAAATTTTTTGAGACTTTTTAACGACCACCTTGTATATAAAAATAGGTTCTTTACACTTACTTCTGTGCATGCGTATAATGATAAAATATTATTGTAATCGTTACTAGACAAAATACAGTAAAATTCGTGGTACGACCAGAAACCAGATGATTCTACATATAAATTTTATCGAATAGATGATTGCTTCCGACAGAATCTACTTTAAAGTATTATACAATACGTAGATACGGGAGGAAATGAAAAGACCAGTTAGTCAAGCTTTCTTCACTTGCACGCCTACTCAACCGATTTTCAAGTTGATTATCTAGAACATCTATATATGTATATTATTATGTTCATTATTTGATACAATCAGATTGATGAAATATAAGAGTAAATAATAAATCATGGATATCGGATGTTACATATTAAGCAATACGTATCACTGATTTATCAGATGATTATAATGATAATAATAGTGCCATTTATTATTGCCTGATGGTAAAGTGAAGACATCATTTTTAGGAAAATTAGACTAAATAATAACGCTAATTACTTGTGAGTAACAAGCTGCTTTCTCAGAAATCATTGCGAATGTCAACTTGATTCTTCTTTTAAATTAAACGTGATTGGGGGGGGGGGGCTAATCGTTTAGAATGAAATAAACTTTTTTTGGACGACTATTAGGAGGTCATAGAAGGGCTCCCTCATATTTCTTCTATGGAGGGGAGTATTAGTCTTTTGTTACTCAGATAGATCTAATCGAACTAAATAACATGTTTTTTTATTCTTCCTAGTTAAGGAGTTATGACGAAAAATAGTTTTCTGAAGAGAAACTTCGTGGAAGCGAAAAGAAGAAATGTAAGGAAAAAAAATTTTTAAATAAACGTATTCTGGGGTGAGATTTATTTTATTAAGTGTTCAAAACGATATCTTTCTGCTTCTAAACACTTATTAAGTTTTTCACGAATAATGTTTGGAACATTTAATAATACTGATGGGATTACTGATACATATGCAATACGTATTCTTCTTTTTATATTATCCTTCGTTGCTGAGTGATTGCCTATCGTTATGGAACCCCATAAGAAGAAATCTAATGAATCCGGTGAACAAGATGGCCACAAAACAAAACCACTTGTCGATTTCAGTGAACAAAACTACATTTCCAATTTGGATTATAAAGTCCTACGCCTATCACTAGTAAAGTGTGGTGGGACATTTCGGCCATCATGCTGAAGCCATATCTTCCTTCTCATGTCCAATGGAATACCTTCCAAATTGTGGGAACAACATTTTTTTTAAATCGCCACAAAAGCTACTTTTCAGAGTTTGTTCGAAGAAGTGAAATCCAATCACATGATTTCATTGAAAATTCATTATTGAATCCCATACCACCAATTCATTGACCAACGGTGTTAAAATACCAGAGTTCGTAGTCAATGGGAATTTTCATTTGACAAAGAATGTATGTTATGTCTATTAACTTGGCCATTATTAGCAAAAGTAACCTCATAAAAAAGGAAAAGCAACAGTAAACATGAATTGTTTTCATTAATGCGTTCACGGAGCCATGTACAAAGAATAATTAGAGCAGATCTTGATGAAGTTAAATGTGAAAGGGATGCTATTTGTTTTATTTTTGTATTATACGTGTAACTGATGTACGGATGATTTTACTATCGTGTTGCCGAGTATTAACTTTTAGATCAACTTTACTGCTGCCGAGACTGCAGTAGCATTGTCATCATGTGTAATACTTTTAGTTTTGCTACGTATTTTGTCAATTTTCCAAACGTATAAATGCCATATATGATTTCCTCGCGTGCAAACGCTCATTGAATACTGTAACAGCATGTTCGTACTTACGTTTCCATTCGCCTAACACTAATATCATATCAACACTTCCAGTAAAGTTTGCCAATTCAAACATTTCATTTGCAAGGAATATCTGGAAATACTGGAAGTGTTCATCTCTCCAGAAAATTTGTAATTAAAGTTCTGATTGTTAAAATAATCTTTTAAGAAATCATGATCCCATTATCAAGCAAATATCTAGAAAATCATGTTTGTAAATAGAATCGGAATAGCTTAGAATACTTACACCTAAACGTACTTAGAAGCGATTTTAATTTTTCACCCTATCTCTTTAATTATGCAGAATAAAGAAAATGCTTCAAGTAAATGTTATTTACTTCGATAAGATCTATCCGAATAATAAATTCGGTGTATACAGTGGTTCCTGAGAAAACAAATTATAACACTTTATTTGGTCCATCCTGTATACAGCTCTTCCTGTACCACATTTACTATATATGTTTATAGAAATATGTACAAACTGTTTGCATTATGAAATGTTGTTAATAAACCGAGTTTTTAAAATTCGTGCTGAAGTTACTGGCAGTTTAAATCCTTTTTGCACTTACTGTACGTCACGGGTCCCACCCCTACAAAGGCATTCAAAGCAAGTTGGGCGTGAATCGATCGTGCAAACCAGACACCATAACTTTCCACACGCATTTCGGGGGTCACGTACAGAGTAACAAAATCATACCTGTTGTTAAACACGGAAGGTTGTTCGTATCGATTTATAAATGCTCGACTGTCACTCGAAGAAACTTCAATCTCCTACACGTACCTAATAAAAAAAAAAATAAAAAAAATTAATCATTTCATATTAAAGACTCAGTCTTTAAGGCTAAAATCATATGAAGCTCGCGGGTCGAGGCTCGAGCTTTAGGGCTCGAGTCCTCGAGGCTCGAAACTCGAGCTTTAAGGGTCGGGTCTCGAAGCTCGAGGCTAACACGGTCACTGCCGAGCGTGTTTCTGCTGGTTTTGTCTTCAGCGCCAAAGAGTGATTGCCCATTAGAATCATATAATAATATATTACACAATATGATTATATGTATTGTGCAAACTTATCATGCGTAGTACATTAATCTTGCTGCCGGTCATCTATGACTCCCACGGCGTAAGAGTATGTTTCCAGTCGATCAGATAATACAATATTTTGAAAATTACAGACAAATTTTTAGGAATGTTTCATTTCCTCTACTATTCAATGGTTATTTCGTTTCATTTTTCATTTCCCTTCCTTGGTATCAATCTCTCATGTGTTTGCAGTCATGGCTGTATTTTTTAAAAACTGTATAAAGTATAATATTATAGATTTAGTGTTAATTCCATTATTTAACACTTAAGGGTTCTAGAGGGTTGAACCTTAAAGCTTCAGACTTAATGTGGAATAACACAGTGACGATTGGAAAAAATTAAGTTTTTTATATATACTTTCAAAGTATAATTTTTCGAAAATATTCTACTAAAATATTAAGTCGAATATCACGTGAATAACGAAAAAAATGTCCCAACTTTGTCTCACAGATCAATGAACCGTGAACACATTGAGAAACTATTTTGTTCGACGCGTAACATCCTATGACTTATATATCTTGCTCAAGTATACATAGGTATTTTGTAATAAAAAAAAATTTAACGTATCGTCCAAAATATATATTTGATCACCCTATTAATAATAGTTTAATGAGGTTTGGGTGTTGCAGAACTAATTTCCAAAAACCACGCTTTTCTGGAGGTTTTTGGATTATTCCTCCTTGAAGCTTTAAAGG